CAGTTCCTACTATCTACTGAAATATCAAGATTATTCCAGTCATTTGGTTTGTCTCCAGCATCACCTTATTTTTAACTTTTTGCAATTATCTCTCTGCCTCATTTAAACGGATTATAGGTCATCCCTTTGCTGGTTATTCAGCGGTTGATACTTTATTCACTGTCTAATACTCTTGGTCACTTGCAGAGACTTATTATCAGACACTCCACACCAGTTGTATGATCTTTTGATCTCTCAGCCCTTGATCTCTCTGCCTTATAAACTCTGTGTCTGTGCTCTTCTCTCTCACTGCACCTGACAAAGATGTTATGCTCCGAGAGCTTGTGATTTAAAATAAACCTGTTGAATTATAGCCTGGTGTCACGTGACTTCTCACTTTAATTACATGTTAGGCAATTTAGAAGCCAAACTGAATATTTCAATCAATCTGTGATTATCAAATAAAGTGTTAACAATTAGTTAACATGAAAATTTAAAACTATCTTGCTATATTCATGCCACAAAAGAGCAATAAGTCTTTCATGCTTATGTCAAATAGTATACCATGATTATTTTGTTTATATCTTTTTGTTTCATCATGTTTGTATTTTCATTCCTGAAAAGTTGTATTTTAAAATGTCATGAGCATACACGTCGTCATTGCTTCGTGATGGTCTAAGATACGTGTTTTATACAACTCGTAGACATTACAACTGAATAGTTGCCTGCAAACATACTGTTTATAAATTTTAACCTTTATAACTCAAACAGTTTCTACAAAATTAATTTTTAACTGCTTCCTGTGCTTTGATCTATGCAAATGATTTTCTTAACCAACTTGCTACTTACATTAAGGTTTTGTATTTTTCTGCACACGTTTTTATGGCCATCCCCCAACTAATGATAATTGCTACGAGATTTGAAAGTTATTTTCCACCCACATTACAGACAATAACAGCTGACTTTGAAGGCAGTGCAGTGGGTTGTCCTTGGGGAAGCTGGCTTAATGGTGGTTTTAGCATATTGCAGCCAGTTTGAAACCCATGCCAAAGATGTTGTCCAGCCTGTGGTCTGAGACCAGTAAATGGAGTTCAGATGCCAACCAGGCAGAACTCTGATTAGTTTACTGATCTGCTACCTGGCTAGAACTTCAGAATTAGAATAGAATCCTACATTTTCCAGGGTGCACAAACGTATAGAGAAATGTAATTACTTAGAGTAGGAAATGAGGAGCCTCTGATCTTTACGTTTAAGTTGAGATAAAATAAGTTTACGTAGCAGTTGCCAGAGTCCAATAAATTGTCCAATAACTCACCTGCCTACAACTACATACAGAAAATTCCAAACTCTGGGCTTGGCATTCTACTGGATTGACAGCACTAAAACCAGATATGTGGACAATTAGTGTGACGTTTAGAATTGATTAAAATTGAAAAGCACTGTGCATTGCTGTTGAATTTGAACTAGAGGTGTATTTTGAGGCTACGTTCCCAAGATGATATGCTACCATGAATCCTAAACTAATACAGCCTTGACTCTGGTCACACAAAGTATAAATTCAAGTTATTATATAGTACATTATGGAATTGCTAAGGCTACTTTTTACTTATGTGGATATTTTTAAATAGTTGGATACTTCATTTTAAATAGACCATGTGTACAGAATTGCAGGATGCTTGAGATATAGTCTTTTGTTGATAGATTTTGTGCAAAATTAGACGGAAGAAATTATCACCATTTGGGCTTATAATGCTCCCAAAAAATTTTCATAATTATTAGACTGTTTATCCTATACATTTTGAAATTTCAGTAATCTTGATTGCTATGATAATTCCTCCCGATTGTTCCCATTAATTTTAAGGCATGAATGATTTGCTAGACAACCAGCCTTCTGAGGATGTTTTACATTGATCTTTTTGTGATTCACATTCTTCTAATGTGCAATATGTGTGCTGTAAACTGATTGAGACACGTTATTCAGAGCAGAGTCAAGAGAACGTACATCTTTAACCTACGTTTGTCATGTAGAAGGCTGTCGAATCATTTTTAAAGTTCAGTTTACAACAGTAAATAACATTGTGTCAGTTATCTGTAAACTGAATCATTTCACCGTTCCTCTGAACTTGTCATAAAGCCTGCAATTCCTTGTCTGCATTAGCAACAAGAGGGTTATATTTAAACTACTTCTAACCAGAGGGCATTCAAGTCTGGTAGGACATTTGTGCATCGTGCACATAGCAGGCCGCCACTCAGAACAATGAGTCGTCCCTAATCCTTGGCCCACAAAATAGATTGGCAGAGATATAGTTTTCATCCGTTGAAATTAGTGAATGAATCACGGATGGATAATGTATCACTTAAAAAACGTTTATTTTGTAGTATAACCACCTTTTGGTTCCTGAGCTCTTGTATGCAGATAGTTAGAATCTAATTCAGTAATAAAGTTACAAATGTATTCCTGATAATTCAAAGCTGTTTTTGACACTCAATTCATTTGAACTATCCAATAATTTGAAGTGGAAGTACATTGCACAAAAGTTTATTCATGGACTTGCTTAATTTTCTATTTATATTTCCCAATCTGCATACTGTAGTCTTGTCATTGTTAGCAGTACATATTTATATTTAAGGACTATCTGGAAAATAATGAGATTTGGAACTATTTGGACTAAAAGATGTTTTTAACCATGAGAGTTCTTGGAATTGAAGCTGATGGTTTAATGTGTACTGTAGTTTGCTTGCTGTTCAAAGTCACATGATTTCACACTCCTAGCCCATCCTTGTCCTTTTGCAGCCCCCTGCTTCCTCAACACTACCTGTCCCTCCACATGTCTTTGTGTCATCCTCAAACTATGCAACAGTGCCCTCAGTTCTTCCATCCAGATTGTTAACCTATAACGTGAATAACAGTGGTCCCACCTACTGGCCCCTGCGCAGCTCCACTAGTCACTGCCAACCTGAAAAAGACCTCATTATACCCATTCTCTGTCTTCTGCCAGTCAGCCAATCTGCTGTCTGCCAGGAACTTACCCCCATCACCATGGGCTGCCATCTTATTTAGCAGCCTCCTGTGTAGTCAAAATCAGATCAGGTACGATCTTATTGAATGGCAGAGCAGCCAGAGTTGCCTACTTTGATTCCTTGCCTGTAATGCAGTGCTGGGGCTTTATTATGTTCCTCCTATCACAGTCATAACATCATTCCAACATGCTGTCCATTCACACTTCTGACATTTTAATTCTATTTCGGAGTTTTTTATGTTTTAGGATCTATCCTCTCAACATTCCTCATTAAACCTACCTTATTTCTTTCTTCCTTCACGTTTAATGGTGACGCAGAAACCTCAGTTTTCTACTGTGCATTTAGCCAACTCTCATAATTCTTCAGCCATTCAATATGATTATCCTATGTGAAATATCTTTGTATATTATGTTTAAGTGTTACACTAATATAGGTCGCATTACGTATGATAAAATCAGCAACTCTCATATGATTATGTAAGGGAAACAATTTGATAGAAAAATGCTGAAGGTTATACGACGAGATCAGTTTTTTTTTAATTGATAAAACATTGTTGGAACCCCTTGCCTCAGACCAAACTTGTTGGCACTGAGCTAAGCTGATGTATTTGAACTCAAGATAAATATTGTCAAGAACCTTTGATTTGAGAATAATTAAAAGCAAAACCTGTGCAAGAAACAGCTTCTTGCCTAAAGATGGTCTGAACTGTGCGTTTATCACCAGCTGAAAATGGAGTACCATTTTTCAATAAAACAAGATGTTTTCTATGATTAGGCAGATTTGAATTTATCCAGAGATACATCACATTGCTTTAACTGTTCTTAGATCTACATGTCTTCGCTTACCCATGTACTTTTATGCTGTGGTGTTGATGTCATCAATCTTCAGCAACAGTTATTCCTCTGGCACTTATCTGCTCGGAACTGTAAAATATAAAGTCACTTCTTCATCATACTTGTTTCCTTTTCAATTATTTGAGGCTTCTGCAGCTCACACTTGGGTCACTTATTTGACGTGATAGTGATATCTTATTCAAGGAATTTCTTTGCCAACGTACACTGGCAGCAATGTGTATCAGCTATAAGATGAATGAAGGTTGCTTGCCAAGTCTCCTTGACAGCCTCTTCCAAATTCTTGACCTTGATCTCCTAAAAACACAAGGGCAGCAGACACATGGGAACAACACTTCTGCACATGATTATCTAAAATCATACATACACTGACTTGGAACTATCTTATCACTGCTTCACTGTTGCTGGATGAAAATTCTGTAACTCATTTTGTAACAATATTGTGGTTGTACCCACACCATATGGACTGCAGTGATTTGAGACATCTGCTCACCAACACTATCTTCAGGGCAATTAGGTTTGGAATATAACCTGCTGGGCTTGGCTATGACACGTGTATCCCTTGAATGAATATGGCTGGGGGAGTTGCGATGAAAAGCCATTATACAGATTCTTTATGCACTGGGCCTCTTTGGAATAAGGTGTTATTTCACAGGTAAACCACACTGGAGAAACAGTAAGGGATGGAATGGCTGACTGTTGCACATTGCTATGAAATTAAGGAGGATGAGTAGGGAATTGTGGTCAGAATCATAAAAGACGTTGCTGCTGTCATGGAATTTCTTGTAGAATACAGCTCGTTGCATGTTCTTATTCCTCTCTGAATCTGAATTTATTGCACCATTGTCTCATTGTTCTGCGAGATTGGTATGTGAAACCTTTAATCTACTGCTCTTTCCACAATCTTCAAACATTGAAACCTCATGCTCGGACTCATTTACTGACTGCAACATGTTATTTACTGACTTGCCTCAACAGTGCTTTAATTATCTTCAATCTTGGTATCTTGTACCATGGCTCTTGGCTTTCAGAATATTAAGAGAAATGTTTTTATTTGCAGTTCCCATCAGTTTTCAGTTTTAATCAGCGATATGTGATCCTCGAATAGCTTCTTTGATTTTATGATACAGCTACAAACTTTACACATCTGAGTCTTGAGGGATGTTGCACAAACTATGCAAAGACTTGTTATTTGGCAGAAATTTAAAAAGACTTTTAAAGAGCAACTGGTAAATGAGAATACGAATGAAGAAAATAAAGGAATTCTGCAGAAAAGATCAGAGTGAAAGACAAAGTAAGAAGACCAATAGGAGAGGCAGGAACAATAATAAAGAAGTTAGAAAAATAAAATGAAGAAATCTTATATTGTACCAAATAGGGAACAAAATAGCATTTTGATGAAATCCCTATTTTCTTGGTTTACGAAAGCCTAATTTCAGTTTGTAGTTTTAATTATAGTTTTAATTTTAGTTTGGTATTTGCACCGAAATAAAACAGGCCAGGTGGAATTTTTAAAAGATGCACTAATTGTGTATACCACTGCTTTATAACAGCTTCAAAAAAAACCGTTTCGCAGTTGTTGTGCGTATCTGATACTTATGATTCCAAAAACTGAGTTGAAGGAAATATTTCATCAGAATACAGTAGTTTATATATTCTTTTATTTATGAGTAATCCATTATTTTTCAACTTGCATACCTGTGGATTATGTATATTGATGATAAAGGAGAATCACAGAAAGTGGAGAAGCCTGCCATATGTTCTCTGAAAATATTGCTAATCACTCAATGACCTTTTCACATATAACTAAATAATTACCTGTTATTAGCATTAATGGTACTGGAAGAGTTAATCCTTTTTTGTCATTGTCTGCTGGTTAATCCTTCTGTAATACATTTTGCCCTCTCCGGCATCTGTGAGTTCTCCTTCTCTGCACATCCCTCTGTGCTTGCAAACTAGGGGAAAAATGTGATTGTGGCAAGTAATGGAACCACTGCAGGCCAGTGAGGAAAGTAGGCCTTATCTCAAGCAATTAATCAAGAAACTCATATTGTGTGACAATTATTCAAAGCCAGTTCAAAAATAGCTCAGAGCTGGAGGTCCAAAGATTATTTTTCCAGAATTTTGTCAAGGTCATTACAAGCATTGAGCAAGCCTATAGCAGTGTATAAAATACATGGTTGACAGGAAATGATGGTGTGTTCGAGAATGTGTTGTGGTTTGCAGTATTCGGAGATAGAGCATCATAACCTAATAGGCATGTCAGGTTGTTTACAAATTTAACACCATTTAAACCAGAAAGAAATAATTCTGGAATACATGGTGTTTTTTCTGTGTTTGAAAAAAGTGTAATACCATTTTCCTATGGATAAAACCCATCCAAACGCAGACCTTCAACAACAGAATGAGCATCTATATGCCTTGCAAAGTACAGAAAGCTGCTCATTTTTTTGAATAAGTGCAGGTGTGTAGTCATTTATATTTTGGACCAGCAAATAATTCTATTAATTGCTCCATAAATATCACCTGGTAGTGCTGGCGTTCGTTCTGCCTGTGTACATTTCTTCCTCTTCACCCTCCCCTTCCCACAGCATTAATAAAGGTCTCCTGCATCAAGTGGAAACTGCAGATTTGGTCCTGAATAAGTTGTCAACCATATATTTGCATTCTTTTATACAGCATTTCTGGTATATATGGCAAGTATACAAAATATTTTCTGAATGTAGCACAGGTAATCTAGTTAAATTGTAAACAAAATTTTGAAATTGATCCAGCTAAAAGGTAAGCCAAGCAAAAATAGCAATATAAATATTAAAAATACCTCTTAAATCAAATGGGCTTTCATGCTCAAAACATACAAATATTGTGTCATTTGAAGAGTTTATATAGACGAAAGGCGCAAATGGACATATACAAAGCACACTTTTTAAAAAATTTCCCATGAGATTCCATGACAGCAAGTAGAATGGTACACTGGTAGGATTGATACTTAATTACTAGAAACATAGAAAATAGGGGCAGGAATAGGCCATTCGGCCCTTCAAGCCTGCCGTGGCAATCAGCACAATCATGGTTGATCATCCAACTCAGTGACCTTCTCCATCTTTCTCCCCATACCATTTGATCCCTTTAGACCCAAGATCGATATCTAACTTCTTGAAAACATTCAATGTTTTGGCCTGAATCACTTTCTGTGGCAAAGAATTCCACAGGCAAGTCAGTCTCTGAGTGAAGACATTTCTCCTTTTTTCAGTAATTGTGTCATAACTGCTTTGGACAGGCATGAAAAACCAGCTGGTCTTTCTGTGTTTGTGTTCAGGCAGCTTCTGGCTATGGAGTTGACAATCAAAAGCAGAACAAAGATGCAGAGCAAGTGTTCCAGGTTGATCACCCCACCTGTGCATATGATTGCCAGGAACTATCAGTACTGACATAATGTCTTCATGTCATTTATGCATAGTATCTCTTTATCTGATTACCTGGTCGACTCTCTTTCAGACAGAAAAATCACTGTTTGAAACTTTGCAATCATCAATTTAAATTTCCAGGATGTATATACTGACAAATCTAATTGTAAAATTACACCTTTGTTTCAAGTTATTGGTTTAGCGCAGTTGATTGGTTGACTTTTATGATGCAGAGTAACACCAACAGCATGGGTTCAATTCCCACACTGCCAGAGGTCACCATGAAGGACCTTCTGTCTCTTTGGTGACACTCAGGTTAAACCACCACCAGTCATCTCTTTCCCTCATGAGAGAGCAGCCTTACGGTCCAGGAAGACTGTGGTAATTTTGCTTTTACTTTATTGTGCAATCATATAAGTATTAACCAAGAAAAGTGAAGAGGTCATTCAGTAGAACACCTAACTCAGCTGTCTGTTTAACTCAATGTTATTGCAATTGTGCCGGTCTTACTCCAAGACATTTCCCTGTCTGGTTAAAGGTTTGCAATCCATTTAGAACCCAGTGCCTTGTAAGACAACCTTGCACTATCCAACAAGGAAACAAATCTTACTCATATAGCAGATTGTCCAGTTCACAGTCATCAAACAAGGATCGAGTCTTTGAATATTCTTTCATTTACCCATGTACTCTGTAGTTCATCTTCAGTTTGGGTTTGATTTCTTTTGCTTTTTTGCCTGCTATTTCTTCTTCTTGAAAAATGAATTTTTGACATTTAAGCCATCATTAGCAAGGAAACACATTATTCACTACAAGCTTTTGACAAGGTGTAAGTTATTATTTTGAATTGCTGTGGTGAGGGTACCCTGCAATATTGCTCCTTTGGAATTCCTTGATTTTCATCTGGCGATGGTGAGAAAAGACCATTTATATCTATGTTAGAAAGCTCTGTGACTTGGAAGGCAACCATGTACCTTTTGTCTTCTTGGATGAAGTTTCATATTATTTGGGGACTTGGTTCTTAAATGGAAAAATGACGTATTGCTATATTGTTTGTGTTAAAAACGGAATGACTTAGAACTCAAAAATGAAGTGACCAAGAATGGTGATGAATTGTTTGAAGTTTTAATGGCTTGCATTTAAATCCCTTTAAAACCCTGAGGTGAATTGTTCAGTGCAATAGTGACTAAGATAGAAAAAAACAAATCGGGCTATTGTCTAGCAACAAGTTTGTGACACAGGGTGACAGAAGCAAGTTCGTTTGGAAAGGCAGTATGCAGCTTTACTTTAGAGAGAGACGTCATACCAGAGTGATAGCAATAATGGTACAATTTAGCAGTCTCCACAGTAGTTTCATAGAAGTGCTGAGTGGCTTAAGGTCAGTCAGGGAAAAACTGTAAGAACACTGTTGTGGAAGAAGAGTTTAAGGAATCCATGTTAAGAAATAAGTGAGCTATATTAGCAGTTTGTTAAGGGTCTCAGGAAGAAACTTTAAATAAAGAAGATAGCATTGAGTGAATACAGGAATTTAGCAAAAAGAAACTGATGCAGTCATGCCAACTGAACAAAGAAATTTAAAGTGGAGAGGCAATACACTTCACTGAGTTTTGAGGATCCTTAAAGTTTTTGTCAAGGGTTAAAGGAATCTTTATTTCTGATACTTAGTAGGTTGTAGACTTGCTCGCCAAGCCAGTGTGTTTGATTGCAGATGCTTCGTCACCCTGCTAGGTCACATCATCAGTGCACCTCCAGTGAAGTGTCGGTGTGCTGTCCTCGTTATTTATATGCCTCGGTTTGCTGGGGTGGTTGGTATTACTTCCAGTTTTGTTCTTCAATGGTTTGTATATCAGGTCCAGTTCAGTGTGTTTGTTGGCGGATTTCTGGTTGGAATGCCAGGCCTCCAGGAATTCCCTGGCATGTCACTGTTTGGCTTGTGCCATTATGGATGTGTTGTCCTAGTCAAATTTGTGTCCTTCTTTGTCAGTGTGTATTGAGACCAGTGAGAATTGGTCATGTCTCTTGGTGGCTAGTTGGTGTTCGTGTATCCTTATTGTCAGTTTTCTTCCAGTTTGGCCTATGTAATGTTTCTCACAGACCTTGCATGGTATTTTGTATATTACATTAGTTTTAATGGTTTTGGGTATGGGCTCCTTTGCGTTCGTTAGTAGCTGTCGCAAGGTTGTTGTTGGTTTGTGAGCTATCCTGATACCTAGAGGTCTGAGTAGTCTTTTGGCCATTTCTGATATGTGCCTGACCTACGGTAGGGTCACTAGTGTGTCTGGCCGTGCAGTATCTTCTTGTGGTCTGTCGCGGAGATAATGGCGGATTGTGCTTGTTGGGTATCCATTTCTTTTTAAAAACTCCATATAGGTTCTGTTGTACACAATTCGGGGTTGCTCCAGCGTGTTGTGGCTCATTTGAATAATGTTCTAATGCATCTCTGTTTATGGGTGTTGGGGTGGGGAGTTGCTGGTGTAATTAATAACTTATGAAGATGGATCAGAACTTTGAAATGCTTGGAGACATATGAAGTTTTAAATATAACACTTTTTTTTTCAAATGACATGGCTAAAATATGACTACATATGTAAATTTAATGGTAGTTTGCAGAGGAACCATGGAATATCACAACCAAAGGTGCCAAAGGAATCTCAAACAGCAAACTTTCAGAGGGAGGTAGGCAACTCAAAACAAACTGGACTGCAGTATTCTGTGGCTTCAGAGATAATGAGGGGCTGACTCCCCTCCACACACACAGTACAAAGTTGCCCCTTGTGTGTCCCACACTTGGATGTTTATGCTTTCTCTTTGAAAAATACAGGAACACTGGTGTTTAAAAGTCAGTTTCAGCCATGTTCAGCGTGTGCTATGAGGATCAGAGTTGAGAAAGCCTCTAATCATCCCTGCACTGCAAGTGAAAAGGAAAGGAAATTTTGTTTCTCTCTTTGTTGAAGCCAGAAAGCAAGAGAATTTGCAGTTGGAATAACATGGATCAAAGGGTTTTCAGCCAAACATCTCAATCAACCTTTTGCCTACCAACATCATGGTACTGGTACCACCCACTATAATGACCTCAACATTTAACTGTCTGATCTTTACAAACAATCCAGTGACTGACCCATATATTTTTTTTCAACTTTTTATGATTTTTTAGACTTTCTTATTTTGTGTTGTGTTTTTATTTTTTCTTGTTTCTTCTCAATCTTTCTTTTAAATTAGGAAATCCAACTTAAATTAGTTCCTCTTAAAACATAAATTCATTTCACCTGGAAGAAAGGCGTCCACAGGGAAAGGATCGTTTCTGAATTGTCACGAGTTTGGGGTGGGGTCATTGAAGTGGGGTGGTGGTAGGAGAGTGTATACAGAAGGGTAGCTATCTCATCTGAGTATATTGTGTTATAAACACCTTTACATCAAATAGAATTAGAAATGTTGCATAACACAGTTAAAATTTTAGCTTCATTTCTTCATTAACCATTCCATGGTACGATTTAAAGAAGAACAGGAGTTCTCATAATATCTGACAATT